TGTATCTCTTTAACTATCAACTTTTGGACTAAGGTAAGTTCGGCTAAATCGCAATATTTTTGCTTCGAGAATATATCCATGAATTTTGACCTATTAGCTCAGGACCACCCTATACGTATACAATTTTTTTGTAATTGTATAAAAAAATAAATTTAAATTAGTCATATTTATTTTGAAATTAGAGAAATTAAAAATTTTTTTTTTTTCATATATATTTTTTTAAGTTACAGCTTGCTGGTAATCATTTTTTTCTTTGTACGTGGACCCGTGGACTATAAGATTTTTAACATAAAATAAAAAATGTTCTTTCCTAAACTTTGTGGTAAATAAAATTTGTAGAGGGCGTTTCGTAAATGAACCAACACAGGAGACCTTTAAAGTGGATGCGTGCCAGACGTTCGGGTTTACTCACGGCTAGACACAATCATAAATTTCGAATTTTATGCAAATCTTACGCTTACCTGTCGATACCGTTGCATCTTTCGCAAAGCGTCAGGTGGCAGAATTGAAGTAGGCGGAGCGCCCGCTATTTCGAATATGTCCCTCAACAAATAGTTTTCGGTTAGATGGATATTAATGCTGGGTCCTAGAATGTTGCACAACGACTCGTACTGCTTCCTTTTGGTCCAGGTATCCAACACCAGTACTTCCTTGCCGAGGTCTTTGCCGAACTTTACTTGAACCTCGGGGATAGTACCATTCTGGAAAATTAAAAAATTCGTCCTTATTTGAACCGTCTTCAAGATAATATTGTGATGTAAAAGTGTAACAATGACAACTTTTACTCCTTGAGAATATGACAAACTTACATAATGTGCTGTAAAAGAAAATCAAGACAACACTTCAAGGAATATGAGTGCACATTTTTTAGAAGATATGTATCAAACAAAAAATTTTAACTGTTAATGATAAATATGCTATTCATTGGAAGATCCATGGATATTGTTTTGAAAATGTACTTTCAGCATTAATCGCTGATGAAAATTTGCCTGGATTGTCTCCAAAAGCTTTTGCCAATGAATAAATTTTCATTACTTAAAACGAAGTTGAAAGGGTATGCTAATAGAAAAGAAGGAAATTGTAGTATGGCGAAGAGTATTTGAAAAAAACGGAAAATAAAAATTTACTATCTCGATAAAATATGGATAAGTAAAAAACATAAGAAATATCAAAGATGGACATACCGAGGAACAAAAAAAGTTATGACATTCTAAAGTCTTACAAAGTGCCACAAGGTACCCTGTAATAAGTAACAGCAAAATTATGATCGGATTTCAATTTGTCACCTCAAAAAACTTGCCATCTCCAGAATTTGTGCATTATCAGTAATTTTAAAAATAATGAAAACAAATTTTTCACTTTGACGCCTTGTATCTTTTTAAGTCTCAACTTTTGAACTAAGGTAAGTTTGGTTAAATCGTAATAATTTAATGTGTAGGATCTGTTGTTGTCCCATGTATCATCACTTATGAGAGTATATAAACGATAAAATCGTCATAAACACCTCATAAATGTGCAAAGCTTTTTTTTCTTTTTTCGTTTATATTTTATTTTTATATTTGATTTTTATTTATTTATCGCAGTCGTTACTTCAAATGAATACAATGAAAATTATAGAGGGTGATTCACAACTTATCCAAAAAAATTTGGGAATAGATGCGGCATGAGAAATGGAGTCGATATCGTAAAAAAAAATTGTAAAATCCTTAGTTTCCGAGAAAAAAATTATTGAAGTTATAGTACATTCAACGACTACATAGCTGGACAACTGTAGTATCTAGCGTCATTCGCAATGCACGTGGAGAACCAAGTGGCCTCAGCGACTCCGAATACTGAAATCGGATTTTGCAATCGTCGTTGCGATAGTATTTACCAGTTATCTGTGGTGTTTACAATAGTTTTTTTAGTTAGTTAAGTGTCAAAAATGGTTTGCGTGGATAGCAACTCAAGAGTTGATGGATATTGTTTTAATTTATGGTGAAGCATTTGTGTTATGGTGAAGCAAGACAACATTTGTGTTAGTTCGTAGAAACTGAGTAAGACGGACCCAAATGTGTTTACACAATTTTGAACAATTGTTGTAACATCGGGTATATCAAATGATTTTATTATTTACAAACACAAATTAATTGTATTAATTAATAAAGGCAAAAGTAGTTGAATTTGCGTATATAAAATATGTGCGATAAAATTCAATTTACATATTTCTTTCATTACAAGTTTTTGTCCGTTTTTATCACACCGCCAAGCCGGTCGCATTGTACAATGTCAGGTTTTACAGTGGACCAGTTTCCAGTGTACACACTGGAAGTGTACACAGTGTACGCACAAGTGTATTTTTAAATCATTTTCGAACTGCCCTTTTTGATTTTTTCTTTACAAAATTGTATTTTAAGGGTCCCCTGTACATCCAGAATTTTTATTTTTTGATAAGTTCTGAATCACCCTGTATATCAGGTAGATATGCATATTCCTTATGAAATACACAATGCATTAAAATATATTCATTTCGATTATAATATAATATGCGCTGACCTTGCCGATGGTCATAATAATTTACAAATAACCGGTGCATAAGTCGAAAACTGTCCTTGAAGTTAAAAATAAAATCACGTACGATAAGCAGAAACTGACGAACGAGTTACAATTATTTGCTTTCTCCAGGCTTAAACAACTCGAACGGTGCTTTTTATCCTATAAAAATACGTCGGATTTAATCAATTAATCTTTTAAATAACACTTTAATATCTTTTATAGAAGTTCTAATCGTTTGGAGATAAATAAAAGGGATTAACAGTGAAACGCTCACCTCAACGAACTGCAGGATATCCCTGAAAGTGGCCCTCTGTTGTTTCCTGTCCTTCTTCGCCCTATATTTATGGGAATCGGTAGCGAGCTGTTTGAGAGTCTCCGTTACGTCCAGTGCGAAATCTTCCTCGAATTCCTCATCCTCCTCTCTGCCCAATTCGTAAATCAACGCCAGAGCCTCTCCCGCAGCCATCCTAACCTCCAAATGCGACGACTCCAGAAGTTCAGAGAGTTTCTCTAGAGACCTAAAAGATACCTTTCATTATTTTTTTCCTATCAAATTTTTTTATGTACTTACGGTAGGCTCTTGGTATTGAGCATGCCCCCGATGCTCCCGGGGCTGATCAACGTAAGTAGAAGATTCCAAGTCGAGAGCGCCGACGCGTGGAGGATCGCACTTTCTGGAGCGACGTTGGCCAGCGCTCCATCTCCCTTTAAATAACTAGCGGAAAATATGGCTTGAAGTTGCTGCATCAGTATGATTACTTCGCCCAGGTCGCCGCCGGTCAAGAAAGTGATCGTACCGAGCGCTACGCAGCTCTGAAACCAAAGTTGATGGTTTTTTTACGTCTTAAACTTGTGCGTTCGACAAATTTTGATTCAACAGATTGTACAAGAAATAAAATATGTACTTTAAGGGATTTTAAATAATAAAACTCTTTATAAATATTTTATTCGAAAACCATTTTCTTTTTAAATTTTAAAAATTGACTACCAAACACTCCACAAAATATAAAATAAGTCTAGAATTATTCGTTCCCCAAAAAAAGTTCATGGAATTAATTTTTTTTTCTATAAATACAATTGTAAATGTCAAGTAATTTTCTTTTATAATTAAATATAAAAAAAACTGACGGTACACACAAAAAAAATTGCATTTAGTTCAAGAAAAGCAACACTTTAATGTAACAATTTTCTTGTTGTTGCTGTTGATAAGCCAAATACAGGTTAAAATTTCGACGCTCATTGAAAAAGAACTTTTATGCAGGTTTCAAAAATGGGAAAATATTTGGGGTGTTATTGCTTTATTTTAAAGGTATTGAATTGATTGAAACAAATTAAAAAAAATTCTCTGTTCCAAAAATCTAGTATGCAGAAGATATCCACCGCATAGACAAAGTTTTTAACTGATGATATTGTAAGGAGGCCACTTGAAAATAGGTAAAACGCAGACCTTTCCATAGCAGCTATTTTATGTGTTGCTCTTTGTTAAGTGATACAGGAATAAGTGTAATATCTTATCAAAAAACATATATTTTATTATTAGTCACATTTTTTACTGTATTTTAAAGGTTATAAGTTAATTCGAACCATAGACCTAGTAAACTGTGGACTGGCCCTAGAAAGAGGTCGATCGCGCTGATGTGTGCAAGGCAGATGAAGCTAGTTGAGGAAAATACCGGTAAAACAAATGATGGTACACAGGTATACCGGTACAAAATGCCGTAAACAAACTTTGAAGTAAATGTCATGTATTGACATTATTGATCGATTTCTTGAATTTTTGTGTGACTTAGTTAGTGTATATGAAAGATTTGTAAAAACTAAATATGGTGCAATCGTGTTCTGCGATAAATTGCGTAAAGAAACGTTTAAGTGGAGAAAAAATTAAATTTCATAGGTAGTAAAGTTATGATGGTACCAACATGTTTACACTTTTCGCATTTTTCTGAAAATAATGACCATCAAGTAGAGTTGTCGCTGATGATAACTTATTAGATGCATCCTCAAAATAAAATGTCCTTTTAAAGTCAAAATTCTGCCGCTTTAAATGTGTTACTCTTCAAATTATTTTTTAACATCAAACCGAATATAAAGAAAAAGTTTTAACTGAAATGTACTTACAATGTACTCCAGCAAAAATTCTCTTCAAATAATATGTTGAACAAAGAAAGCATCGACATAGTTTTAATCTATACAGTTCTGCAAAGCAAGAAAGTATGAAATATTTGAAACAACTACGTCAGCAGAGCTTGAAGTAATTTTAACCGATCGAGTTTACAATATGAGGAAAATAAATGGAGAAATACATAAAGAAGGCATTATAAAAACTATTTGGAATATTATAGCAAAAACAATTCAAATATTGTACTGTAATTAGGACAGTAATATAATAAATCCTTTTACATACGTACACTACTGGAAAAAATGAACATTTTTTCTTTTAGTCTCTATATTATTTTTATAAAGTTTTTGAATACGGCCCAACAGAAAAAAGGGGTAAGGAATCGAGTATAGATAGCTGATTTGTTGAATTAAGTGTAACACGCTGCAATCGAAATTCTGTGAACGAAGCTTAAGCCCTTACTAGCTCCATCTCTCTCGCACACGTCTGACCGATTGCCGTTTATATAAGCAAAAAGAGAGTTGGGCGAGTCCAGTGGTTTATAAGGTCTATGATTCAAACCAATACAAAAATATTAATTTTGTCTAGGAAGTAAGGTATTTTTTGCATACCTAAATTTTTGGTATTGCAGAACATCGTTTGATTTCATTTAAAATTATTAAAAAAATATCTATTTATTTAAATCGGTTCAATACCCTTAAAATAAAGTAAAAATATGAGAGATAATAATCAAATACATGTTTTTATTTTAATATTAGATAAAAAATTTGTTAATGGAAAATCGGTTTTAAGTTGCTGTTCAAATTGTTAAAATTACTTAAAAGCTGCTGCACCACCATTACAAAAAGAAACTTTAAAAATGTAAAGAATGATGCGATTAGAAAGTGAAATAAATTAAATTAGAAAATTATGTGAAATTAGAATTCCTTTCTAAAAGAAGTTGTTTCCAACTTTAATTTTTGTACATTTATTATACTCGGTTTTATCAAATATGTTCTGATATTCCAAAGATAACAAAGTGTTTACTAGTAAAATATTTAGAAACAAACAACTAGTAAACATGCAGCAAATGACTAATATTATGAACACAAAACAGATAAACACCGTAATTACATCTACAATCTAATGGTTCAATCCCCACACAAAAAAAAAATCCTAGAATTTATGTAAATGATAAACTAAAATCTACGAGCCTATCAAGGCCAACAAGAATTTTAGCCCAACCTTGAAATCCCTATACATAAATTTTGTTTCAGACGTATATTTATTACTAGAAAAAACTGCTTTATCATATGGATTAAACACTGTCTGCCATAAATATGTTGTTTGCTCTTTGTTTGTTGAATTTCCTAGAACTAGCCTAATTATTTCATGAGGTAGAGATCAAAGTTTACACTCCATTTCAACATTGTTCAATATAAATTAGATAGGTATGTACTTACACACGATCCAAGTATAATAAAAATAATTACTACTCCGACTTGAAATATTTTTTAAAATCATATTTAATATAAAGCATTGACTATTTTTATAAGCACTTTGTTTATATTGTGAATTTTAGTGTCAGTGATCCCTGATATTGAGACTTAGTTTAGGTGAACTACCTGATGTGAAATGACAACATAGTACTAGGCGGGCAAAAACAACCCCATCCAAAGTTAAATATTGTATTATTTTATATAAAATATTGATAATTATGTTTTTTCTTCTCAAATTTAAACCCAACAATGGGCAAAACCATATATTTTTTTACTTGTCTATTTGATAGTAATGGAAAAACTAAGCATATTTATTTTCCAGAATTTTTAGGAGCTCGTAAAGTAATTAAAAAAAGGATCAAAGTTTAAAAATTTAAAGTCATCAACTGTGATATTAACAAGTTTAAAGTTTAACATTTTTCAGTAGTGTTGTAAAATATATATTTGCTGGCTAGTGCATTACTTTGACTAGACAATGGAAATAAAAATCTAGAAAAAAATAAAAAAAAAAATAAGATTTTAAAATTGAACATCTCCGATTTCACTAAAAACAAAAACAGCATATATTCCTTACTTACTTTGGCTCTCACGGTAGCAGAAACTGTATTGTCACAAATTGTGGTAAACAAAACGGGTTTGAGCATACGGTAGATTTCTTCGCTAGTATCTTCCCCGCCTAACTGCACACAGATGATCGTCGCCAGTTCAGCAGCTGCCGCCTTCTCTGATCCACCACCTTTCTTCAAACTTCTCTCTATGCTGTCACAAATTGTGAAGTACCTGTCGGGAAGATAATAAACTTTTGAAAAGCTTATCGAAACGAACATTGTTAAACTGATTAAATAAACATTTTTAAATTTTCGCGAACAAAGACTGGTTTCTCGTACCTGTCTCTAATGAAGTTAGGTATGTATTTCTTCACTAAACCTTTGGCGAGTGACTGGAAACAATTTGTCCGTCCTTGTGACGACTTCTGTGACAAACCGTCGAGTAATTCGCATAATTTTTCCTCGAATTGTTCCTGGGCTAGCTCGCTGCTTTCCTCGCCGTCTTCGCTGCGAGTCTCTGAGCAGTTACTTATGAGACTTAGGTTATCATTATTATTGGAATCGTCGTCGGAAGAATGTAATGAGCCATCATTACGATTACGATCTGAGAAAGGGACAAGTTATTTTAGGCATTTTAAACATTAACACTGAATTGTAATTTTTTTAAATCCACATTCTCTTTTTTTCAAATTGTGGATTAACAAATTGAAACTATTACATATATTGTTTTCGACAAAGATATAAAGTTCACACAAATTCCAGAAGAAATTGATAGTATTGTTTGAAGCAACATACCTTAATTTATATTTATTGTTTTTTTAAGAGAATAATCTTGTGGATGATATTTTTTTTGAGTACACCTGATTTGATATAAATACAAGATAATAATAGGTACAAGTAAACAATTTTTAGAATTAAATTTTTTTCTGAATATTTCTTTACATTGAGTAGGTACCTTGTATATCTGATAATGATAAAATCTATTTACATAGAAATATTAAAATGTATTGCTTTTTCATTATGTACCTATACATAGGTATTTTATTTCACTATTACACAAGATGACTCATGTTCCAAGTTATAAATATTAATAATTTGGAAATTTTAGAATTCCTACTAACAGAAAAAACACATGCAGAAAGCACTTGCAACATAATTTTTACATTAAAATAAAATAGTTTCATTATTAAATATAGGTGAAGGTCACTTTCTAGCAAATACTTATTAATCCAATTTGTAAATAGTAATTATTCTTGTAATTTTTATTTATTAAAAAACTCGTCATATGTAATTAAATATTGAATATACAAGCACCACCTACTCCTAAAATAACACTAACATATTAAATTTAATCAGTCATGTTTCATTTTGGAAGACCCGTTTTCATTATATAATTTTGCCTTGACACAAGAAACATGTAGTGTGTAGTAGGTATATACAACAAGAAAATGAACTACTGTAATAGACCTAGAAATATTTACTTTTACTTTCCTTATGCTGTAAGTATTAGGGAAGAGATGTTAACAGTATATTGTTACATTTTGCATTACTAAGAGAGAAAGTAAACTTATGTAATGACAATATAATTTAATTTAAATTCACAATTTAAATAATTTCCGCCATCAATTTACATAAAGCTTGGAACGACCTGATTCAAATATACATGTTTAAAGTCTACCCGTCTAAATTAAGACATTGCCCAACATGACTCATTCAAATTTCGAAAAGCCTTTAAATATTTCACGTCAACAGATGTTTATATTGAGATTATTGAGGACGTGAAACTATAAATTAACAATGAAAATGTTAATAAAGAAATAACAAAGGTACCATATGTCACAATTTTCCACGAAAAAATGCAATCCATTTATGAGAATTTGACGTCCCAAAGTAGTAATAAAATTAAGGAAAAACGGTCTTAACGCAGGGTCAAATAAAGCTCACTACCTAAATCAAGATGAGTGTGCGTACTTACCAGACCTCCCTTTTCTCTTTCCTTTCGGCATGGTCGAAAATTAAATAAACTTTTTCTTAAATTTACTAAATAAAACAACTAATTTAACACTTGATCAAGACGGTAAACTGTTTCTTAAAGTATTTTGTCCACTTATACTCAACACTTGACATTTAACTTGAGATAAAATTGTAATAAAACTCAATAACATGTTTCCAGTTGAACACGAGATGATCAACTTTGCCTGTGACCGCGAAATGGTGCAGCTTTATAAGAGAAGCTAGTTGCACGATTGCGCAATGGTTTGCAATTTGAAAAAATAATCAATAATATGTTTCTTCATATTGCGAAAGTAATTCGGTTCATTTAGAGAGTGATTTTCTACAAATTAGTTATAAAATATTTCATTTTCCACTTATTGTTTGCATGTCTAAATTAATTAATGGAAAATAAAATTTATAAAGAATAGCAAATTTATATTGGCAGCACTGTTATAATTTGGTTCTGATTTCTGATTATAGGAGTTTTCGGAAACTGAACTGATATCAGATGGATAAGTTACAGTTCTTTTCTGATATCTTCGAGCAAGTATATGCTCGAAGATTAATATTTTATTTAAAAAAAAATATGTGTATCTAGTTCTGACAATTGTCTTTGATTGCTATTATCTATATATTTGAGAGTGACGTAAAATTTAACATTAAAATCTTGTCAATAATCTTTTTTCAAACATTTTAACTGGTTTACTTTCTGGGCGACAAGATCAGTTATTCTAGATTCTAGTGATCGGTTAACAAGAACACAGTTTTCGAAAAGCCAAAAAGTCTTTTAGCGTTGGTAAGTTACGTTTCTTGTAAAAATTACAGATATAAAATCGTGGTGGAGGTTTAAATTTTGATGTGTTGTTGAGAAAATTGTTGGTTATTAACAACAGCTGTGATTTATTTATCTGACAGATAAATAAAACATTTAATTTAATTTAATGATCCGTTTCATTTTTAGCCAAAGAAATATTTTAAAATTAACTCCTTCGTAGTCAGTGAAAGTGAACTGCACTGAACTGAACTGAACTGATCAGGACAAGAATGTGAAGGTTCCTATGATAATAGGTTATGTTTGAAAAATAGGTTGGAAAATAGAATAATTCTTTGTAAAGGATAAATATTAATAATAGTCATGTAGTGCAAAGAACCAATATGCTAGGATATATTTAGAGGAGTACAAAATGGTACGGGCGAAATATGTGCGTTTTTCTTTCACTGGTTACTTGGTCGTACTCATTTCTGTGATGTTTATTATTACTGTAATTTTAAGTTTTAAATTATTGACAATTGGTAAATATGTTACCAAAACTTATAATATTTTAAATAATTTTACTTATTTGTAGATCAGTGTAACTGTCTTGTGCCAGACATTGTTAAATATGGAATAAGGCCAACGACTAAATTGATTAGTTCTAAACATAGGCTTGCAGTATTAGTACCGTATAGAGAACGTTTTGAAGAACTATTGGAATTCGTCCCTTACATCCACAATTTTTTAAATAATCAACAGATCTCTTACAATATTTTTATATTAAACCAAGTAGATGCATATAGGTTTAATAGAGCATCACTGATTAACATTGGCTTTCTACATACCAAACATGATTTTGATTATATTGCTATGCATGATGTAGATTTACTGCCTTTAAATTCTAATTTATCGTACGCCTATCCAAAACAACCATTCCATTTAGCTGCTCCAGATTTGCATCCAAAATACCACTACAGTAAATTCATTGGAGGCATTTTATTGATCAATCGGTAATAAAAACTTGTGGTTTCTTTATTTTGAATATTATTGTATTTTTTTTGCAGAGAACATTTTGAAATAGTAAACGGGCTATCAAATAGGTACTGGGGTTGGGGGCTAGAAGATGATGAATTTTATGTTCGTTTAAAAGACGCCCATTTGAATGTTACCAGGCCAGAGAATATTTCTACTGGAGTTAACAATACTTTTAGGTAAAGTTAAACATTGTGAATTGTATGTACAGGTACACTTAATTATGGATAGGTGGAGTCAAAATATTTATATTATTTACTTTCTGTTTCAACAAAATATTGGGTAAGAAAGTAAAATTTTTTTCTTTTGTTTTCCTGTAAAGTTGGTCGATAATGGTTTAAAAAAATCATAGGCAACTGTTTCAATCACAACTTTACATCATGTTTCTCAATAAAATTGTTTTTCTACATTTTCTAAATGAAAATAAAGTAAATAGTGTGTTAGATTTGGAAATGTAAGGAAATTTATTTAATTTTTATGGAATTTTTTAAAATTCCAATTGTAATTGGTCGAGAAGGAAACTGCTGACTAAAATGGTGTAACTATTTCACATTATTTCTTGAAAACTGTCTTTTTCTCATTAATAACTATGTATTTCCCTTCATTACCCAATTTTTGCCTAGAATTTCCCATCAACCTACAACTTCCTTGCATTACCTGGTATTTCCCTTGAATTATATCTAAAACTAGGTGATATTATATGTTATGTACCTCACAATGTCCGCAGGTAGTCTAAAAAACATTTAGATACCCAGGGTCTTTTATAAAATGCTGTAAGCTGTAACCCCAGCTTTTCCTGGACCGATTTTGATACAGTGTTAATAGGTCCAAAAATATTATATACTGACTCTTATGTAGTATCATCATCACAACATTTTTTTGAATGACTACTTTCGAGACAAGCTTCTCAGTTGCTAATGGGCCAAAGTCACTGATAGATTCTACAATGGGAGTAGTTCGAATAATATTTTCTTGAAAAATGCTTCCGTTTCATACAGGGTGTTAAACATAATCTGAGAGAGATAATTCTCTATTGAAAAAGCTGCATGTAATATTTTATTTGCACTCTTCTTATAACTTGTTTTTAGACAGGGTTCGTAGCGGCCGGGAAAACTGGGAAAAGTCAGGGAATTCGTTATTCTTCATAAAAAACAGGGAATAGTCAGGGAATTTTAAAAATATTCATGAAAGTCAGGGAATTTGATGTTTGCAACTGGAAATTTTGTGAAAGCCGGTCCTGGGTTCTTGAAAGAGAAAACTATTTGTGGTTTTGAAACCTTTATAAGAGGTTCTTAGGGTATAAAAAGATTATGGGCTCCAGTCGAGAAAAAATTTAATGCATAAACACCAATTAGTATGTGAAAATGAACTACGAGTGACCTGGATTTTATTTTGAAAGTCAGGGAAAACCTGGAAAAGTCAGGGAATTCATTCTTACTTTTGAACTATGAACCCTATTAGAGACTTGAGACTTTATTAGGAAACTTTTCTATTTACCTAACATTTTTTATATGGTCAATTGCGTTTGAAATATTAACAGTTGAAAATCACTTTCCTTTCTCTGCCTTGAAATAACAAATGGAATTAAAGAATTGTTTATTATTTCGCAAAATTATTTACAATGGACTAATTTTGCACAAATGCACCAATCTGTGCACAAAATTTTTAAATGCACAAAGTTTGTGTAAAAATATTTGTAAATTATAACATTTTAAAACACAATTCGAGAAAAATGACTCAACTTTTAACATATTGAAATTACTTTAAAACAATAAGAAAGCTAAATAACAAAAGTATTACAACCAAAAGTTCTTTCTAGCAACATCTGAGATTATATTTCTCATTAATGACTATTCCCACCCATTTTTCATAAAAAAATCTAAAATTTTGTTAAATTACAAAAGAAATTGCACAAAGTTTATATGTATGTACATACTTATAACTGTTTTTTTTTATAATTCTTAGTCTGATGAATAATCAAGGCTGAATTATTCTTAAACTATATTTCACAATATTTTTTTAAAACTGCAAAACTAGTATATTATATTTATAGGATTGTCTGCCCAAACAGAATACACAATATTGTGCAATTTATATGTTTGCATAATAATAATCACAATTTTGATTATAATATAGTTATAAAACAATGTTTTATATTATTTTCTAAATACTTTTACAATTTGTTGTAATATATGGTTTATTGTTGATTAATAGATTAATATTGGTTTTTATCAGTTTTATCTAGAACTAGAGATAAATTACGGGTTATAAATATAAATTTATTTATATTTTTTTAGTATTAACATTAGCTTTATTCCTAATGCATTAGAAACAGTTTCGAACAGTCGGATGCAATCGAATTTGATTCAGAACAATTTTGAACCTTATGCAATCCTCATTTTCTAGATACAGGACGTTAGAATTAAAAACAAGTTATATTCTGAATTAGAGATGTTCTGGATATTCTTTTTTATTTCAATGAAAAAAGATCACCGTTTTATTAAAAAAACGTGCCGTTTTCGAATTATTAATTTTTAATAATAAGTTAGGACCACAAAGTGGAGTAAATCAATATTAACTGCAAACTGCTCTTTTCAAATAAAAAATATACAGAAACATTTTGCTATAAATATGACTTTAGATACAATGTGATATCAAGAGTTCAAAAATATTTATCGCTCAATTCTTTAATTTTCCAAGCATCTCAAACATTAATCCTCTGCATTAGATGTACATATAAATAACAATTATAATCATGTGAACATTGTAGGCATATCCATGGGAAAGATAGAAAAAGGGACACGACGAAGTGTTTTAATCAGAGAGAAGTGACGAGGAAACGTGATAGGCAAACCGGCCTTCACGATGTCCGATACAACATTTTGGGCTATAAAAACTTGGAAATCAACGGGGCACCTGCGACTATTATTAATATACAGTTAATTTGCAACCACACTGCCACTCCTTGGTGTGATTGTTCTCCGCAGAAGTCAGCTAAAGTTTAGAGATTATTTTGTTAAAAAAATTTAAGGCTGCTGCGATACATACATATAACTCGTATGGATATGGATATTTAATAGTTGAACATATCAGTTTACAAGGGAAACATTTAAATTATCTATTTTTCTTGGAAACAGTACAAATCGTGTCGGTGTTATTTATTTATTTTTATTCTTTTTTTTTTTTTATAAAATTAGTTATGTTTTAGTTAAGTTTGTACATTGCTTTGTAAATGTATTACAAAATTTGTGATATTCGAATTCTGGATTTCTATACACAAATATTCAAATTTTCTACAGAAAATATCCGTTTGATGTTTTAAAAAAAAGAGGCAACATGTAAATTCTAAATAATATTTGGCGCTTATTAGTTTAGCTCTAATTTATGTAGTGATTAGTTGGATCATGGTAACGTTTGTTTAACCAATCATGGTTTTCAGAGTATAAATGCAAGAATGACCATTATGTATAAATAAATTTCTGTGATAGTTTTTTACTGCGATTATTTTTAAGTCTTTTAAGGTTGCTATGAGGTGGTTAATTCTAATATACAGGGTGTTTGGTAAGTCGATGCATGCCTTGCGGTAGGCTATAGTACAAGTGATTTGTGATACATTTCCTTAATATTCCGAAAACACTTCCGCAATATTTATAAATTAGCATTTTTTTATTAAAACTTTATCACCCTGTAGATCAGAAACTAAGCGTTTTCGGAATATGGTATATTTAGGAAATATATCACCTCTGGAAGGAATGCATCGACTTATCAAACACCCTGTATATTGCATGATTATATCAGGATCTGCGGAGATAATTAAGTGCGGGTTATCTTACTTTGGAGGGATATATACCGTGGAGATTTCGGTTCGTTCAAAGTAACGCAAGGTTGTGGAATTCGATGACGAATATGTCAAAAAGAGATTTCTCATTGAAGTTATTAAATTGAAGAAATTTATTTATTCAATCAAAAACAGAGAAATCAACCTTCTATATTATTCGGACACTTTTTTGTGAATTAAAATATGCCGTAGTAGTGTTGTAAAATGCTAGAGAATTTATTTTTGGAAGATTTTCATCAAATACAAACGGTAATAAATAAGTGTAAACGCAAAGAATCTGCAAATTTATGTTTATGATATAATGGTTTATAAAATTAAAACACGAAATATTTTACATTTTTTGATGAAAATTTTCATTATTTTTGAACATTCTCCAAAAAAAGGTCATCCAGTCTAGTAGTAGTAGCACGTTATTTATAGACAAAATTGTTATAAAATTAATTTTTCAGAATGAAGATTTAAAGTTATCAACACTAAATCGCTTAGTTAATTTTGCAGGTTTTAGTTTTAGGTGATTTTTATTAAGCAATTTTACTATACCTGTTAAATCGAGTCCAAATAATAGCCAAGGATCATAATTTTTAACCAAGTTAAGAATTAGATCAATTGTTGAAAAATACGACTATCAATTCACCTGTCGGCAAGTCCCTGATTAGGATGCAAGAAAAACCGAGGAACCTTTTAATATACAGGGTGTCCCGAAATTAATGCAATAAAATTTGGTCAAATTGTGATCCAGTGCATATCATGATTGCCATTTTTCTTGAAAACATTGCGTTTTACAAAAAAATATCAAGAAGAAAAAGTTTCTAACATCAGTGGCTGTCTAGGGAACTAATAATTTTTAAGAAATTCAAATATACCATAAGGGGGCCCACGAAAAAATTTCTTAAGGGGGGAGGGGGGGGCAAAAAGCGTAGCATCAGATTCCACATTTTAATACCCGTGTACCAAATTTAATGAATCTCGTACAACAGGGTTCTGAGATATAAAAAAGATAGGGAGAGGCAGATTTCGGGGGGTTGTAACTCCAAAAGAGGAGGCCACTTGGCAAAAATCAAAAATACGGATCACCTAAGAATTTGCAACCAAAAATTTGTTGCATTAATTTCCAGACACCGGGTATATATATTCTTTTATATTAAATGCTTCTTCCTAATATACATATAGAGACATGGGCGAAGTTAAGGGGGGGCTTGGGGAGGCTAAGCCCCCCCCCCCAAATCCGAATTAGCCCCCCCAAAAACATTATTACACATACACATCAGAACAGAAAATAAAAAACATACTTTTTTGACAAAAAAAATTGTATAATTTAATAACCTCATACTCGAAAGTTATTTTAATCGAAGCCAAGTCGGCGTCACTGCCCAACAGAAGTCGGAATTGATAAAGAGGTTTTAAAGGCAGAAACGACCGTAATAAAGAACTGTGTCAGGAAACGGGACAAAAATATTAGTATATCCGATTTCCATTTTTCACACATTTCCAAATTTTAAGGTCAACCGTGGGTCAAGACCGATTCAGTTCTTTAGCACTTGCTAACATTGAAAGTGACATTTCAGAATCCCTGATTCTAGACGATATTCTGGAAGAATTTATTTTAATAACTTTTAAAATAAAATTATTTGGCTTTGAAAAAAAAAATTTTTTTCATTTACTTTTAATATTTATGGATTGGTAGAAAAATATGCTTACCTTACTTTGATACATACACAAAAATAAAATGAAAAAAATATATACATTTTTTCATATTAGGGCTTTAGCCCACCCAGATCCGATGACTTAACTTCGCCCATGTGTATAGAGACAATTTCCAGATAACATATTCATAGGATTATAAGATGTAACATATCCGATTTGGTAACCTATCCTCCGATATTATTTTTTTTACGTTGCTCATTATTTTAAAACGTTTCTATTTAATGTTTCGGGAACGAAAACATTATTTTTTAAAAGTTATCAATTAAATTGTGATGTATGTTGCCATATCCACAAAATGTGGTAAAACGTTTATTATTAAAGAAATAAAATGCAGAAATAGTATCTAATACTGGTTTTATTGCCTTTATAGAAAACAATGTATAACATATAAAATATAAAAATGCCTACCTATAATTTAATATAAAAAATATTTAAACTGAAAAGCTAAAACAATATTTTAGTAACAATTGTGGTGATGTACGCTATCACTTATGATAAATCTCAGTCACAAACTAAGTACATTTTTACATCTTATGGTGAGTTTTAAGTTTTTTTATGTTTTGAAAAGTATATAGTTAGTATATTTTTCAATATTGTACATGTAACCCCTAGAAACTATTCTAGTTTTTATTATTTTTTTTATATGCAAAAGAAAATAAATTATTTTAAAAATCGGCATCGAAAGAATCGTCTCTTCCATACAGGTTCTCGCTACACTCAGATAAATATTTCAATACGTTTATGTTTCACTAATTATAACAACCATATTTTAAATATTTTTTTCTTATAATTAATGTATTGAACATTTTTTTACAATCATTGAGAAACCACAGTAGAGGCGTTTACAGAAAGAAATGATAAAACATACTCGTAAAATAAAATACCATGATTATTTTACCATCAATCATTTGGGTTGAAATCAAACGAGGGCAAAAAATAGCATTAGTACAAAATAGCGATTTTTCTAAGCTTTCAGCATGCTATTTTACAAACAAAAACAATTCAGCTGACATTTTAAACGTATACCATAATAGTACACTGCTACTACTAAGAGAATACCATTTCTAACCAATCTAAATTAATTTTTTTATGACGTTTCAAATATTTAAGCTTATCTTGATATTTATATTGTCAGTTTAGGCCATACGATTTTTGCCAACTCCCAAATTTCCCCTTAACGAATAAATATTCCAATTAGCATTTCAAATTTCTGTCAATTCATGAAATCTTTGAAGTTTTGTTGTAAAAGATTAAACCAAATATAGGATGTACAATAAGGTATTCTTTAAGCGAAAGTGCCGAAATAATAAAACTGATATATTAAGTTCACCTTTGATTAATCACATGCTGCGGTAAGTACGACATTTGAGATTTATCACTAACTGGGGTGCAAGCATGGCCCCAAGATCATTAGAAGATCAACTAGAGACATGCAGGTCGTACTAGAGATGCCTGAAACAGAAAGACATACATGCTACACCAAATTATTACACGGGACGTAGAAACATGCAATAATAAATCTATGTTACATCCGACTGAACTGAACGATAACACAGCCATTATTAATACTCCAGGAATTCGCGACATGCAATTTCCGCGAGACTTACTGAAATAAACTATAAACTAGCAAAACATCTGATTATTTGATTAGATAGTAGAAATAACAATTATTTTAATGCAAAGTAAGTTTTATTTTATCATAAGTCGAAGCAGGGTTGTCACGTAGTAAATTTTTTGAAAATAGTTACCTATAAAGGGTGTGAAGAAACAAAAAGGCGTTGTTAGTCCACTTAGATTAACGAATTGAAACAATAGAAATCTTAGTTTTTAAATGTAATTTCGACACATACAATTGGCGAGCAAGCAGTGGCGGTTTTACCATAAGAGCTGCGGAACTGCAGAACACATAAAATTTTATGTATTTAATCATATTAAATATCAACAAAATATTTAAAGAATCCAAATGTACTCGCGCTAAAATAAATCTAGGAGCTTATATACGCTCCTTAATATATGCAACCTCATATACAAAAAGTGTGCACAGCGAACAGTTAGATGCGTTCTTTGTTTTTATTGGCTAATCAGGCATGTGACCCAGTACACTTTTATATGGGCTTTTGTGGCTGCAACGACAGCCACTGCTGCAGTAAACGCAGTAATATTTGTACGTGGTATGTGGTGGTTTATTTCTGCGAGTGGCACGTGTGAATATTTTCGTTTAGGCGTATACGGATATTATAGTTATTAAAATGAATAGCGTTTCGTTTTTTAAAAAAAATTTTATTTGGTTCTCTGCCTTATGAGGATAAACTAAAAATAAAAGAATTAGGTGGGCCAACACCACACTTAATATTGAAGTTAGTGGAACAAGCCGAAGTAAAAGTTATAAAAGACAATTTAACAATAATGTATACACAAAAGCAGAGTGGGTGTGCGGGTGTGATTTAAAAAATACACTGTTTTGTTTTCTGTGCTTACTTTTCGGTGGGGATAAAGCATAGATATACAGTGTGAAAGATTTAAGTAATTTAAGTTATTAGGTAAAATAAACATAAGTCAGTTAGATTCTGCTTATTGGGACAATATACGGAAACACAATGAACAGGTAACGAAAAATTGTTATGTATTATCTAAAATCATAGACTGCATAAAATTTTGCAGAGCTTTCGAATTAGCACTTTGCGGATACGACGAGACAGAAAATTCGGACAACCCTGATGTGTTTCGTGGATTCATAAATTTTAGTGCAGATCTTGACGACATTAAAAGAACATCTAGCCACATGGGTATGACCAGGATTTTCTGTGATTGTACCGGGAATTAGCTGTATGGTCCCAGATTTCGGATTTGTACGTATAACTCCCAGAATATAATATATGTAAATACATATATATAAAAAAAAGATAAAGAAAACATCATAACACGGCAAGGAAAATTAAAATTCGTTGAATCGTTGGTAAATTTCACAAACGATTTTTTTTGTTTATAAACAACCTTCAATAATTTAATAAAATATATTTAGTTTATTCCAATTTATTTATACCGTCAGTAGGTAATTCGTGAATAGATATTTCAAAAAGGTATCAATTTCAAAAATCGTTCTTGTGAAAATCTGTATTTTTGTATAAATGGATTGTTTCTTGAAATTAAGAAGTGCCGGGAAAACGCATGACATTGAAAATTTTAAAATTTTTCGCCTGCGGCACCATTTACAGGCTCTCTGGGCACTTCATATCCCGGAATTCAATTAAACAAACGTAACAATCCTAAGCAGAACACATTCAATCCATGTTCATGCACCGCCACTGCGAGCAAGTGCTTCAAAGCAAAATCGACCTGTTTTTGTGGTTAAACCTTTTTTTTCCATAGTTACCTACTCTCGGAGAAAACATTATTTCGTTGTTTGAAGCTACATTAATTTTTAAACTATATAAAATGCACAAACATCGAACTATTATTATAGTTAAACAATAAATATACTTGGCAACCCTGCTTCCGTAAAGGTATCTATTGCAAAGGTTTTCTTTAACAAATAAATAATTCAAAATCACTTCGATAGTTACGTATTTGCAGAATAACTATGTACAAAGTACTAAATTCTAAATCATGTACATGCTACTTTATTAGGGGGGGAATCAGACAATAGTACCCTTATTTTTTATTTTTGAAAAATTTTGAAATTAAAAATCAATGTTAGGAACTAATTATAATTCCTTTATTGTATAGAGTGTAACACTAAGTGAGAGTCAGTTTTAGGAGTATTCGTCGTGTTCCCCAGAATTTTTAAAAATCAAATAAATAGGCGAGTTATAATTCGTTTTTTGATATCAGAATAAGCATAATTGTAAGTAAACTAATTTGTTTTAAAATAATTATTTTTGCTATATTATAAAATGTAGATTAATATAAAATAAATACAAATTTGAAAATGTTTTAATAAAAAGTATTGTTACTCTTTACTTCAAAGCACTATATTGACCTAGTTTAGATGAACTACATAATATCAATTCGTGTAATGTGAAATGATAACAGGGCATTAGGTTGGCAAAAACCAACCGGTCAACATTAATTCAGTGAAACGAGAATGGCCAAAGAATGACTGCTTCATTTTATTAATTTTATTTTAACTTCAGTTTACTGGTTTACGAGGTGTTCGTAATGTGGTAATGATACAGTATGTTTGTGTGAATTGTTAAATTTCTGTGATATTATGAAAAAAATAATCAACACGTAGAGAAATTTGTCGTTTGGATTTCTTTTTACAGGTTAACCGACACATATCTATTTAACATTTTTACAAGACATTTACAATACAAGTAATATATTCAAACTATCGTCTCAACATCACTAATAACTTGTATCCCATGTTTTGTGAAAATAAACTTGATGAGATTCTCGTCGCATCCTTTATACTGTTTTAAATTAGAGTTCGATTTGCTGTGTTTCAAACCGCCTTTACTCTCGATTTCGTCAAAATTCGTATAACTCTTTGAACTCTTTAAAACTTGTTCGTCTTTACATACCTCCTTATTTTTAACTTCGTCTCTAACGATCTTATGTTCGCCCGAACTCTCGGTAATGATTTTTACCGCTTGACCTGGGTGTTTCATGTTGTTAGCTGTGTTAGTTTTAGTGTAACTGTCGACTGTGTCGATTGACATCCGTTTGTCGTACGTCTGACGAGAGAACAGGTTATTATTACAAATATACATGCAATTCGTAGGGCTCGGGGATTCCATCGGCACGTCTGAAGGCGACGGTGTTAGAAATACAGAGCTTTTATTTGAAGGCATCAAGTACTTACTGATTTCCCACGGAAGGCAAGAATAATAATAAAAAAAATATTATACATACATTCGGGAATATTTAAGTTCAACAGTTTCGAGTGATAAAAATGTAACTTACGTTTTTTCCGACCCGTAGAGGTTATATTTGTGGATGTATTCTATGACGAGATCAGGCAGGAGGTACCGGACGGATTCCGACCTTCGAAGGGCCCTTCTTATTTTTGTAGAACTTATTTCATTTCTTATCCATTCGGTAACAATCACAATATTTGACTAAAAATAATTGGTTATTAGTAGATTTCTTTTTTTGATGGAAAGTCGATAGCACTATACTCTGATGCAGTTTGAATGTGATATGTCAAGTAGTTCTGTCAATTTTGTTTTTTTACTGTGGATAATGTTAGTGAACAAAGACTGCCTAAAATTTGGCGCTACCAATGGAATTTCTTGTGTTGAATCGTTGAAAAAGTTGGGACAACGTACGGTAATTCAATTTTACCGACAACTCAAGCATATAAATGGTTGAGAAGTGGTTGATGGTCTAATCACCCTTCGACATCTTCAACTGAAAAAGATGTCGATATGATAGGTATTATTGACAAATTTCAGATACTTTTTTGACGAATATATTACAAAGAAAATATTAGTTTTGCTAAAGAAATCTCTTTTCACTGTGCAACTCTTCATTTTAATATACATACTAATAAATAGTCAAACTGTACTGTAAAATACAACATTACTTACCATGTATTTAGTGAGCATGTCCGAGTTGTATATAAATTCCAGTGGATTAGAATTCCATCGACTAATAACCACAATCCCATGTTGACCTACAATATCCTCGATCTACAAATTTAAACAATAACAAATAAATAAAATTAGTAACTAAAAATGGCACAAATAAATAATTACATACAATACTTTCTTAATATTGAATAGAGGTAAACTAACACATTCTGCAAGTAACATAATTTAAAGGTTATTTTAAAACAAAAAAAAAAAACTTTTGGACCCATATAAATGGAATATTTATTGTAAAGAATAATCAGAAAACACATACATCTTCATTTGACCATAATCCAGGGGTCCCAAAGGATTCTAGGAGATCTCCACCACACAAAAGCTTGACTTGAATAGGTCCTGTACAACCATTTTTAATATCATCCGGTATCCAATTAATGTCGTCTTCATTTACGTCATAATGGTTATTGAGAGACTGATTTAACACTGCATTTATACGATTCTAAAATAACAAGTTTTATATGTTTAATCTAAAAGAAAAACAAGCTAGATGATTTTTTGAATGTGCAATGTTATGGCTAAATTAGTTCATGTTTTAGTTTTAAGAGGTAAGTAATATCAGTAATCTCATAAAAAATCGGATGTAACAATCTAACATCTTATCTTTAATTTTTAATTGTTTGAATTATTCTGAACTTAAAATAATATGGAGATAAGAAATACCTGATGATATTGCAAAACTTGTCGTGTCCGACACCAAGATTCTTGTTTACATTCCCAATCGGATAAACCAACCCAGTCGTGATTTTGTAGTGCCATTTTTATCATGGTAATTCTGTGTGTTGCTGGTTCCAGTTCTTTTTTTCCATATGCATCATGCACTGGAGATACAATTCCTCCAACAACTATGTATGAGCCTAGTCGGTGAAGATGGTCTCTTGCAATTTCTGAAAGAAATCAATAATTGCCTAATATTAAATAATATTATCAAATATGTGATAATTCTTAATACATGAATTAATTGCATGCATCCAGTTATATTAAAAGAAAAGAAATTGTTACCAAACATTCTTAAGTGCATGTTAGTTGGTGGATTAAATGCACCGCAAGCCAATAATACAACTTTTGTCGGACCCATTTTCATAGATTTAATTAGTTTTACACTCTTTATCACAATATGATTGCACTAGCCAATTTAATCACATTGAAACCAAATCTTTAAAAGATTTAAAAAACTATTTTGCTGATAAGTAATGATATGACATTTCACCTTGACAAATGTCAAATCACTAAACGTGCGAAGTAGTGGTGGGCAAGATCCGCATCATACGTATAAATCATACGGATCTCTAGTGGGAATCGATTCATGCGGATCCCGATGCAA